CAAGGTGTTTTCCTCACTACAGCCCGAGACTTGAATTGGGGAGACATCCCAAATGTGGGGTCCCCAGGACAGGATTGAGAAGCACTGATTTATCTAAATGGATCATTCATGTCAGGGTTTCTCAGCCCTGTTCCTGGAGCCTCCTTAACGCTGCACATTTTAAATGTCCTTTAACTGACACAGGTTTTTCTGGTACTGGAGATTTTACTAATGAGCTAACGACCTGAATCAGGTGTGACTTATGAAGAATACATGCAAAATGTGCAGTGTTAGGGGGCTCCAGGAGAAAGGTTGACAACCATCGACCCTAGTAATAACAGTATGACATTCTATAAAGCTGCTTTGACATATTATTTGTATTGTGAAAGTGCTGTAGAAATAAATTTGACTTAAGCCCTGTTCACATAGTCCACAATCTTATTTCTAGACATTTATTATTTATTGTATTATTAGCTGCAGTAAGTGTTCCTACTACTGAACATAATGAGTGAGCCAGATTTTGTAAATCTGATCACAAATAGGATGTACTGAAAAAAAATTCAGTCCTGATGGTCATGAACACTGACCCAAGCTGATGTGAGAGAAACCTGAAGGTCTTTAGATGTTTCTCTAGGGTTCATTGTGGGTTCAAAGTTAAACAATTTGCAAAACCTTACTAGGACCCTCTCTCTGGTCAGTAATTTCACTTCACAGCAATAAGCAAGTGCTAATATTCTGTTTCAAGTCTCTTGACAACCTTGATTTCAGAGGTATCTCCCTGATTAAGTTCACGTCTTTCACAACTGAATCAAGCACAGCTGCCGCAAAGTCCTGCTGGCGAAGTGGCAGAAAATAGTCAAGTTTAGTAAAGTCAGCAAATGAATCTGTAAAATGTTTAGCTTCTAAAAGTCACGCTCTAGGTACAGGTTGTGTGATATTGATCTCTGCAGTAGTAATGCTAGTGTAGTTAATCAAAATAATGTTCCTGAGAACAGAAGAGAAGCTTACTATGGTGTTCAGGGCCAGTTTCCTAAAGAGCCCCAAAGCAGCATAGTTCCGCTCACCGGAATGTGTTGTCATTGGAGCTGTGTAAAGAGCTTTTCTGTGCTCCAAAACCTAGTGAGCTTACTTGCTGTCCACTGAAAGGGCCACTCAAGATGTATTCTTCTGCTATTTTTTAACTGTTGTTATACAGTATATACACATGAGCAGGGGTGTCCAACCCTGCTCCTGGAGAGCCACCTTCCAGTAGAGTTTAGCTCTAGCCCTAATTAAACACACCTGAACCAGCTGAATCAACATCTTCATGATCACTTCCAGGCAGGTGTGCTGGAGCAGGAAAATGGCCCTCCAGGAAACATGCAATGCTGCCATGGAACCAAAAGAAAGGTATTTTAGAAGGCAGCAATGCAGTCTTTGCAGCTAGTTCACAAAGTTTTTGGAGCAGAGCTGGTGCAATGTAGAAAGACAGCTCACCAACAATCAGCAGCATGTGGAAAGCACAAGACAAGCTACCAAACTCCACATATGCCCTCCCTGAACTGTGTGTGTGGTTGTCTAGACACAGGTGTTGAACTTTCAAGAATTCCTGCAGCATGTATCCCAGACGGGAGAGGAAAACTGATAATTCCAGCAGATTTCCTGCAGAATTCTGGCTAGAGATTACATTCTCAGCAGAAGAGGTCCCATAAACCCCCAATACAATACTGAAAGCCATGGTAACCTCTCAGTGCCGTGACCATCCATTCCAGATGAAAGCCTGTCTGAGATTGTTTCCATAACGACTGCTTGGCATGAGCTGCTGTACTGCATTTTCCCAGGGTGGCTTTTATAGCTGTTTGTTAGCATCCGTTCCTAGCAAACGGTTGCTTCCTTTAACCCTGAACTTAAAACTAGGTACTATGACTTCCTTTTTTTTTTGTACAAAAATATTTATGCCATGTTTATTTATTGAACAGGTTTAGATATTTTTTTTCCATGAGGGAAACAATGATGAACTACCATCTTTTTCAGATGTTGATAAATGTTTTAAAGGATATCCTGCTGTACAAGGCAGTGCAGCTTAATTTAGATGATGAACCATGTGTCCACATAAGCACATTTTCTACATAAAATAATACTTGGCACTCTTGATCTCTCAGAAGTATTTCCTGACAATTCATATTACTGAATAATAAAAACATTGAAATAATGTGCTGTATCTATGGTTACAGTAACTGACTGATGAAATTCTGCTGACATTTGTGGTATTATTTCATTCTTTTAGCGTGACGGCCTGCTACATGCGCTTGCTCTCACACTTTTTCTCTCACTCAAGACCCTCAAGACTGACTTGTTCTGTTCCTGCTGTACACAGTGAGAGTGTAAAGGTAATATATTCTCTGCAGTACCTCTAATTTGCAGAACATCTAAGTTGCTGTTAGGCCTCTGCCATGTCCTGCCATTCGCTGAATCCTATTAAGCTACTAAAATTCTGTAGGTCCATGACAGGGACCATAATCTTCATTGACCTACTGTAAACCTACTACAGTGTGCTGTGTTTTTTTTTTAAACAATCAATAGAGAAAATGCAAAACAAAAACAAATGTACAACAAGGGAAAAGAGGCAGTACTGTATGCCTAACACTATACCTATGTTCACAATGGGCTTTGATTCTGGAAAACGTACGGAGATTCAGGACTCTTGAGAATACCGGAATCAGGAATTAGACACATTTTCAGAATTAACCCCACAATGCATCATGTGTGACCATAATAGAGAGCCAGAGCCGATGCCAGGTAGTTGCAGTTTTGATGGTATTATGTGTGACTTTTTCTAATGATTTGGCAAGCAAATCTTGGTTGGTGCACATATGATTTCATGTTATTTTAGCCTGCAAAAGGATTTATAATATATAATTGTACAGTAATTATGATTCAGTAATACTGTGATGTAAAAATAATACACTTAAAAAAATGTCATAACTGAAGAAGATATGTTAGAAAAAGTAAATAAAGTAAGCAGTAAGTTCCTCTGACCTGGTGTCAGGTTATATGAGAATGTGTTTATATCACAATAATACATAATTGTGTCTTTTTTAGAAATTTTATAGTATACTATATTATCTTAAAAGAGACAAATACAAAGTTATGTCATGAAACTCTAGATGGCTAGATAGTTTCTAACTCAATCTGCTATAATGACATCATTATTCACATGGCACAGCTGATTGGTTCTTTTCGTATCAGTCAATGAGATTGCTTCTCAACATTCAAATATCTAGCTAGTGCTTGCTGTAGCAGTTGCAGTGCGCTTCAGAAACCCTCCACCTTCCCCAGCTCCACCTGCACAGATCTGCTATGGGGTGATTTCATATATGGTATATGTGCGCAGCAGCAGTATTTCTTACATGCTCACAGCAGCATGTCTGTGGATGTATTGGCAGTAGCAAGTCTTGGTACTTGCTCTGCCGCAGCAGCGTAGCAGATCTATTCCGCCAAGACCAAACACATTAACATACGTTTACAGAGTGTTGGTTAAGCTTGGACATTGCATTCAGCAGATATAGGTCAGCTTGTAAAAAATTGGCATCTTGTTGCAAAATAATTAACTTATATCTTCTCAATGGTTTGACGAGTCAAAATTCTGTTGATAATTTTTAAGATAAGAGTGCCTGGGGATAATATGTGCAAACTTTCATGCAAATCAGACAAACAACCTAGAAAGAATTTGAAAAAGTACCCCTTATGTTTCCAGAGATATGGACCAAAATGCAAATTGGCTTAATATAGCGCCACCTAGAATCAGGCAGATGTGTGTCTGTGCACCTGAGTAGCGATGCATAATTGGGACCATCTTACTGAGTTTGGGCTCTCTTCGCTTTACAGTCTCTGAGGCCCATATTGTTTTAGAACAGAAAAATACTCAAGGCTTTTCGCCAAGTACATTAGATGTCACACTGTAATGCCACTTTAGCTTTACGTGCTTGTTTTGGATATACAGTATATGAAAAATCATGCAATCCTAGAATAGTTATCCAAATAACTTTTCTGGAATATCTCTGAAAGGGTCTGATTGTTTACACTGTCAATGTGATAAAGTCCATTCTTCATGCTCACAAGTGGTACGCAAATCAGCACAAATTAGTTACTTTGTCATTAATTTAGGCCTACACAAAAATAAAAATTTGTTTCTGCCCAAAATGAGTTCATAACCCATAATAACTATTCCAGCAGTAAAAAGTCCATCCCCAGTTCTTCACACATGTAATATCCACTGACATACTTGTTTAAAAGTGTTTTCTGTGCATATTTCTCTCCTGATTTAGACATGAAGATATTCACTGGACAAAGCAATATTATGGATTTTTGGCCAAAAGCACTGGGTTGAAGTTAAAACGACTTAATGATGGGTTAATAACGCCAACGTTTCACTCCACAAAACATTAATTGATGAACTAGAGTGTGGAATACTTATAGATTATTATAATATTTTTTTAACAGCTGTTTAAATTCTCATTGGTGGCACCCATTCATTGAATTTTGTTGGTGGACAGCTATTGGGAACAGACTGACTAGTTTCTGGTCACATACGAAGCATAAATGAGCTTAAAATGACCAGAAACAGAAAATTAACTGAGTGAAACGTTTTTAGTGAGTTGGGTTAATTTAAAGGTGCACTTCTGTGCCTGTGACAATCATTACGGATAAAAAAAAGACAAAGGCTACACAAAACATGCCTTTTACTTTATTAATGTAGTTACAGATCATTGTGTCACAGATAAGCTATGTAAAGTAATTTAATGTTAATAAATAGTATTGTATGTAATACAAACATATTAATAAAAAGTGGCTGTTGATACAGGTAAATGGTGTTTTAGGCATTATGCTTTATATACACTTAAAATTGTGTTGTGATCATGTGTTATGTCGAGAAAACAAGTGCATGGCTCTTATCAGCCGCCGTACACCGGTGCCCCGGATGCGCAGCGTAGAGAAGGGCGCCTGCGCAGTCCACAGATCTACAGCTCATTCGGCTCGTTTTCACAGCTCTGCTGGTCGATGTTAGGATGTTGTACATATCAGCTCTGTCTGTTAGCGGCTCACTCTCTCACACACTCATTTAAACTCATAGCTCCGGTCCGCTTCATTCACAGGCCTGCTCAGTTATGAACATGACGCCGTTTTTAGCGAGTTTTATTTATTTGGCGCTGTTGTGTAGTAGGATATGCTGTGATAATGACACAGAAGAGGATGAGCACGCCAAACACACATACACGGTGGAGATGTTCAATGATGCCGTCTCTACTGCTCCACACTTCGTCATGTTCTACGCGCCCTGGTAAAACTGAACACTTATAACTGAATATTTTCATTATATTGAGATATATAGAAAATGGTAAATGCAATGAGATCAGTGCCGTTATGTTGGTTCTGATTTGAATTGCTGCGATGTTTGAAGTGACTCCATTAGCCACTTTAATCTACAGAGACACTCATTATAAAGTCAATTTTAGATGAAGTTTCTAATGCACGTTCATACAATGACACGAAGCACAGCTTTTTGACATTCGAGTGATGATAATAGACTTTGATAAAAAGTTTAAATTCCTGCAGTCATAAAGTTTTAGTGTACGTGGCAGAGCATGAACAGCCATGACATCAGACATCCACTGTTTCCAACTCTCGCGAGACAAATAAGCAACCGCAGCTTCAAACACAAACCCAATATTTTTTTTGATGATTTATCATCAATATTATTTATTACCAATAAATGAGCCTGCAACATATTAAACTGAAACCACTCTTTTATCTGAAAAGCAAAAACAAGCCATTTTACAAAAATCAGCAAACTGCAACAAAAGTGGGAACTAAACTCATCTCCAATCACCTGTGAGCAGAATAGGATTGGAGAGATGGAAAAGGAGAAAAACACAAGAGCTTCAAAGGGAAGCTGTAACATAGCCACATATTTATAGCCTACTAAAATATAGGCTATTTGAACCATATTTACTCTTAGTATTAGTATTGGACTACTTGTTTTTTTATTGCAGCCCGTTATAATTAATACATTACAAAAACTAAAATTAAAAATAGTGCTGTAAAACGATTAATCTCGATTAATCGCTTTCAAAATAAAAGTTTTTGTTTACATAATATATGTGTGTACTGTGTATAATTATGTATATATAAATACACACAGCATGAAAATATTTACATTTATTTATTTAGTCATTTATTAGACGCTTTTATCCAAAGCGACTTCCAAATGAGGACAACAGTAATAAATATACACAGTACGTACACACATACTATGTAAACAGAAACTTTTATTTTGGATGCGATTAATCGTTTGACAGCACTAATTAAATATTAGGCTAAAAGAAAGTCGTCCCACTCCTCTACGTCTACTTCTGTCTTTGCTTGGATTACAGCGTCACGCGCCTTCTTTTTGAACGTGATTTTTCTCCAATGAGGGGGAGGAGGGGGTCCACGAACATTAGGCAAATTACGCTGCAGCACTTATATTATTGCACTGGTTGGCTATTAACTGCGAGCAGGCAGAGTGTCATTCAATGCATTGGGGAATACGGCGAACATAAATAAAGAAACGAAGTTGCTTGTCAGATTTCTCTAACAAGCAACCATATTTATTAAAATAAGCCCAAAAAAACGCAACCCGCGTCCCAAGACTTTTTTTACGCAACTTTACAAAAAAAGAAGCCCAAAGTCGCGTATAATACGCGGACTTGGCAACTCTGCAGACATCACTTCCTCATCGTCTTTAAAAAAAGTACAATGGTAGTACCATGGTCTTTTAAACATGTGCAGTGGTAATACTAGGGTTATTTTTAAGGATTAATGGTACCATGTTAAACCATGGTAATATGGAAAAAAAAACAGCATAAAAATTACCACAGTTCTATCTATGCAGTGGTATTACCATTTTATTCTTTGATGGTATTCAATCAAAACAGCCACAGACACAATCTAGAAGTGATTCTAAACCGCTAAGCAATATTCCTGAATTAATATACCATCATAATCTTTGATTTTAAACTTTATTCTTTTGGTTTTCTTCTGATTACTGTATTTTATTGTACTTTATTTTATATTGTATTCATAAGTTAGAAAAATGTTACTTTTATGTTGAGAACGATTCACTAAGGCAGATTTTTACCTAAACTTAACGCTAAAGCAGATTTAAGAAGTTGCTTTAGTTTGTAGTGACTCATTGCTCTCCTATTTTATGAAAAATGTTAGGAATAATAAAGCAATAAATAGTATGATAAAAGTGTTTGAATATGTTTGTGGTGTGCAGGTGTGGTCACTGTCAGAGGCTGCAGGGGGCGTGGAATGAGTTGGCAGATAAATATAACAGTATGGAAGCTCCTCCAGTGTATGTTGTGAAAGTCGACTGCACAAAAGACACAAAGTTTTGCTCCAGTGAGCATGGGATCCGTGGATACCCCACGTAAGCATTATTTCTCTGTTAGTACTGTACATAACTAAAAAGATGTTTCACTTATGCAGAATGCCAGTAAAATGATTCAGATGTGTAAAAACATTTTATATGCATGATTTATAGTCACCTGACAGTCATGTACCTAAGGTAAAATTACATGTGGTTTGATTAATCATTGACTGACTAACTTGGTGTTTGTTTTACAGTCTGAAGTTGTTTAGACCTGATCAGGAGGCTGTAAAGTATCAGGGCCCAAGAGATCTGCAGGCGCTGGAGAGCTGGATGCTGAAAACCCTTCAGGAGGAACCTGAAGTAAGATCCTAAACAGCTAAAATGTTTGTATGACTAGAAAAAAATCTTATGCTTGATTTTAAAAGCACTTTGTCAAATACATGGTCAAGGTTTAATTCTAAAATGTCACAATATTACAGCACTCGGTCTTATTTTGTCTTACCCATCTCACCCCAGGAACCCCAGACTGAACCTGAGCCTCCCAAAGTCCCTGAACCCAAACAGGGCCTGTATGAACTCACAGCCACAAACTTCAAATCACACATCTCTAAAGGTAGTAGCCCAAAACATCTTTTAAAAAATATTATATTCATGGATGCAGTGTAGGAAAAAATGCCTGAAAACATCATGACAATTAATACAATCTTTCAATCAATACTGATTGGTAGTAGTCGGCCTGGGCGATGAAACACTATATTGTTGAGTCATGCAAAAATTTATGTCGATAATGATAAGCTCTGGACATTTTTACTGTATGTATTAATCTAACTGAAGAAATAAATGTGACAACAGCCAGTCAGTGCTTGTTGTTAACAGGCTTAACTCTACATGTTCTTCGTAAATGAATGGCACGGTTTCGTCTGATACTCAAACTCAAACACACGTGATGCTCGTGGTGATTTCAGCATCTGCGTCTCAATATATGAGGACATGAACTTCAATCTACTTTTTTTCAAATTTTCTTCTTGAAACAATCGAATAAGAAGAATAAGTTACCGATCAGATAAAATCAGTATTAACAAAATTCATTTGCACTACAGAGGTGGCACAGAAGAACACAAAAGTGGTATGTATATTTACAGACATTTAATGAGGCTCAGAGGTGGCATGAGTGCAGTTAAATTCATAAATTAATGTTGAGATTAATATAGAAATAGTAAATGATTTAAATAACTGAAATGATACTTTAAAAATGAGACTAAAACTGCCAGTACAACCCTCAACATTGCGAGTAAATCACTCGCATATGCGACTAAATCTTCACTCTGGGCGACTAAATGATGTCTAATATTAGCCAATTGCTAATAAATTCTCAGATTTTACTCGCCAGTGTGTGAGTTGGAGGCTAAGTATAAGTTTAGCTCAGATATATTTTCACTCGCCGAACACTCTCTGACTGAGCGCATCAGAGTTTCACTCTCCGCCAAGTGATCCGTGCTGTTTTTCAGTTCACAACGCACCTGTATTTAACGTACCGTAAACTCTAGTGTGAAGACGCACGACTCCCCGTCGCTTTGTTTCACACACACGCAGCGAGAGAGGGAGAGAGAGAATTGACGCGCTACCTATGCGCGCTACATGTAAACGATCTAGCCAATGGCGATTCAATTGCCAAGGTGTTCGTAGAGGGCTGCAGTAGGTGGCGGCAAGTCACTGATTTTATCACGGAATAATTAATTCAGTTGATTCGTTCAAACGACTGATTCATTTAGGAACAAAGCAAGTGTCTTTATGAAAGGGTAATTGAATAATTGACTCATTAGATCCGTTTAAAAACACACATTCTTTCATAAACAAAACATTGCTGTGTTTGCTTAGAGATGTGCAGCGGCTCAGTCATGACTTTGTTTGAAACTATTTTCGTTGACGAAATATTGATTTAATAACAGTTCAGTAAACAAGAAGTTAATATTAGTAACTTACATTGTCTAACTACAACAGTATTGCCTGATTTTGCAGATCACATTTGCAGACTCCTTTATCATTAAAAGCTGCTACTCATCTTCGTTCATCGCGATCTCACAAAGTTCCATTATAATCAGTGAATCTCTTATTTACATCATGTCTACACTTGTTATAGTAGAGGATTCGTGAGCTTGCATAACTCAGCACTGAACAAAGCTCTGGTGTTTTGAGCAGTGAGTGAATTCTGACTAACATTGCATTCAAGGAAATCTACAGATATGTCTGTGATACATTACTCAACACTGCAAAAACACATTGTATGTAAGAAACCATTGAAGCTCCTCGAGCGCAAACACAAATATGCTGATTGACTCCTACAGTGTTTCCCCTGCCATTATATTAGGGGGGCGCCCTGCCCCGCCAATGTCAACCCTGCCCCCCCCCCCTTTTTATTCAATTTTATTTTCTATATAGTGCCAGATCACAACAGAATTCATTTAAGGTTACCTTTCCTATAGAATAGGTCTATACCTTGTTGTTTTATTAAACAAACTAAATAGCCTTGTGTTATTTATCTTATTTACACGACGGCATGTCATTACTGTCAATACATGGTCGCGCGTTTACAATTCTCCTCTGCTCTCTGTATCGCGCTCGCGCGCACACACAGGTAGGGCCCTATGATTTTTGCGATGCAGAAAACGGGGACTGAATCGTGGAATCCAGTCATAAAAACAGAATTTACTGTATGATGCGGAATGTCATGGAATTTGTCAAACTTTAAATGAATTAATCAAAAGTAGGTGAGTACACTTAAATATGGACTAGTATATGTAAATATTAAGCCATAAAAAGACTATTTAAACACGAAATACACACACGTTCTGCGTGTCTAGGGTTGTAACGGTATGATAATCGTCTCAGAAAATTTCACGGTTTTCACTATATATTAAACAATAATTCTTATCAGTAACAATGACTCTTAAAAGAACAAGAACAAGTTATTTGAGTGAACAAATCCTTTATTACAACAAACTTGAAACCATTTTAATGAAATAAAGTGTACCTTCTGAAAAAAATAAATAAACAATAAAAAATAAAGCTGTACACCTTATGTATATCTATATCACACTTTAACATTTTAATTAATGTTTTAAAATGTTATCAAATGAAAATTTACAACTCCTTTTATTTTTGGCAAAGTTAAAACATGAACAAACATTATATTCCTTGAAAACAATGTTTAAATAAATTATTTTATTATAAATAATATTATTGTTGTTATTATAACTTTGAAGTAGCCTACAATGTACAATGCTAATATCATAATATACAATGTCATAATTTCAAGTTAAATCAAACTTTTATTTTGATGGGTTGTAGCAGGCCTGTGTATTTAACAATGTTTTTTTTTCAAATAAAACTAGGAGATGTTTATTTACATTTTCTCTCAGAGCAGCTCTGCTGATGTTCATGTTTATGTATCTTAGACGCTGAAAACACCATTTATGTATGCATACTTCAGTATGTAATAGATAAAACGGCGCCACTCAGAGACATGTAGAAACAAGCAGATTATTTATATAGCAGTCTCTTTGCGCATAAATATTCACAGACATTTATCATATCTACTTTTGATTTATACATCCATCAGATGGCGGGTTTTACGTGACATCCTCGTTATACTGTAAATTCCATATTCACGACTGCACCAGGATTCCGTCTGCATCACGGAAATCATACGGTCTTAACTTATAACTTGTTGTTAATGTGACACAACTTCATCTGCATGGAGATATGGAGTCCGCGAAGATGTTGGAATGGATTCCCATTCTGCAGATTTTAACGTTTTTTTTTCGGCGGGGATGGAGATTAGATATAATCTCTGTCTCTGTCATTTTCTCAGGGTGTCCGCGGGGTCTTAAAAAATATTAAAAGTTGATAAATCAATTTAGAGAAGATTAAGGCTTTTAAAAAGTCTTAAATGGCATTTTCCAAGGTATTAAATTTTGTATCATCTTTTCATTATGTATATTTGTCCGAATAGTGGGGTTCTGTGTAGTTTATTTATGGATTCCTGCAAGATTTGATGTCATCTGTTACGGCGCTCACTGACTGACTGCGCCGCTGCGTGATAGCACGGGGCTTGTTGATCCCGCTCTCGCTGAATTTCTGACCATTACCACATGCTCCCATCCGCTCCTGCGATTTTTGTGTCCACTCCCGCAAACATTCTAATATTGTATATAATTTTCGCGCATCAGGGCGCAGCTATCAATATGTGGGGTATTTAAATCCCTTTTGAATGAGCAGTCGCAGTTCACTTTCATTTTCGATTTGTGCATTGTGTAAAGGGAGCACATCTTACGATAAAAGATATTTGTCAATGAGCTCGGGATCTGTTGAGGAGAAAATCCTCCAACATCTTGTCAGTTATCTCTCCTTACTTTTGACCCATGATCAGTCAAATCTGACTTCTGCAGCTCGAGTTGGATGCAGGGTTGTTGTTGTTGTTGTTGTTTCCACAAAATTGGGCTGCTTTTAAACTGTTGCCATGGGCTGATTTTCCCCAGTGGGTTAAAGGTTTGAAATATTGCATAAATTACATTTGGTTGAAATGCTTGTATTGAAACATTTTGCATTCCACCTGTAATAAAACTGTGCTGAATATTTTGGGTCACACTAGTAGGAAGCATTTTGTAACGGGGCGAACGAGACGCGAGACGTGCGGATCCATCTGCAGGCTTTTATTAGACAGAGACGTGGTCATAACAGGCATGGGTCAAATTGGGCTGCTTTTAAACTGTTGCCATGGGTTGAATTTCCCCAGTGGGTTAAAGGTATGTAAAATATGTATATGTATTTGCGCTACTTTGGGCTGTTTATTTTACCTTCCATGATCATTCAGACACGATCAGGTGCAGTACTGACACTCTGTCAAGTCTGCATTAAATCAAGCACTCCGTAATCACAGGTAAACTGTCTGATCAGTCAGATGTTTGTCATGAGAAGTGTTCCACAAAACAGCTATGGTTTGCAGACAGTTATAAGAGTTGATGTTACAAATACATCTTTTAAATATACTGCGTGAACTCATTGCCCCGTTAGCACGGAGAGCTTTTTTTCCCTCCTCAATAAGTTTTGTCAGTTGTTTTGTTTATTGGTCTAATTCTTGTTTCTTGGGTTGCATTGGCTAGTCACTCAATTAATTCTCTTGTGCTTCGTTCCCTCCTTCTGAATTATGTTACTGTTTTCTCCACTGCACGTAAGCAGCCAAGTGAAGCAGCCAAGCGGAAATAAGTTGCATATGCGCGGGTGAATTTTTTTCATTAATTTTTTTTTAAAACCGTAGATATGCAAATATTTACGGTATGATAACCGTGCACGTTCAAACCGTGATAAACCCTCATACCGGTTTGAAGCGTGCGTGATTTCAGCATCTGCCGTTATTCTGACGATTTGTGCTACCCGCTCAGATTGTGCTACCTCCCATTAAAAATATAGGTAGCACAAATCGATTGCGAAAAATGCTACCAATCAGATTGTGCTACCAGCATTTTTTTTAATGTCCATACCTACCCCTACCAGTGGCGTGCGGTGGTGTTTTAAAATGAGGCAGTTATATATAATGTATGTATGTGTATACAGTGTATATACAGTATATATATATATATATATATATATATATTGGTATACATTGGTGTGAAAAAGTGTTGGCCCCCTTCCTGATTTCTTATTTTTTTGCATGTTTGTCTAGTACATTATAAAACAGTATGCAATAATAACAATAACAACGATGTGATCTCTGATTTGAAAAAGTGGATTCGAACCCCGGTCGATCGCGTCAAAATCGACTTCAACACATACTTCACCATCTACGCTACTGGAGCTATTAGACGATAGTCTTTTGTAATGTTTTGTAATCACACGTTGGTGGGCAGAGTTAGTGTAAAAAGCCTCTGCCAACAAGGCGGGCTATTTGCACTTGTAAATAGACACTCCGTTTTTTTATTTGTGAACTGATGTTCAGCTGTTCTTTTTAATAGTCAACTTATTTCGGGTCATCGTCATAAAAGCCCTGTAAACACTGCCACAGACACGAAGATACATCTTTCATTTCATCACGCTGAATGCTCACTAAAAACTGACACAGTCATCACGTTTTCAAGTCATTTCATGTTTCATTTTGACGTGACTCAAAGCAGTGATATCGAAGTAGGAGAGTTGTTTACTTACTTTATAATTAGTCAATAACTCCATCATTTTCTTCATTCAGGCCGAGAGCTCGCACGAAAAAAAGTGGCGGGATTTATCACATGAACCAATCACATCCAATCATAACCGATCATATCCAATTATAGCATGACAGAGGCATTGCCTCCTCTCACGTGACTTTCCCCCATTCATTTTAATGAGCCTCCAGAAAAGTCACGGCATGCTTTGGGGTCTCTGTAGAAAGTCAATGGGCCAAGGGGAGGCAAGCCTCCGCTGTAACTTTAGCTGTGGGTGTCGCTGTTGGACAGTGTTACTTTATAAAAATGAGTGACTTCTAGACTTTTAATGTCATATTTAGTCATATTTGCGTCGTTTTATTTTTGTAATATCGATTATTTTCTCATCCACTTTTGAGGAGAGGAGACACTGCCTCCCTTGCCTCCTCGGAGGAAACGCCCCTGACCCCTACCTTAAACTTACCCTTAAAACAATGCAAATGTATTTTTGGTAGCATAATCTGATAGGTAGCATGTTTTGTCGGTACACCGTCTCACTAAATGAGGACATAAATACATGAACAACATCTCCAAAACATTTGAGTAAAACTAGCCTCACTTCACACAGAAATTTAAAGGTATTCACGGCAACCCGTCAAAATAAAAGTGCGGTTTGTGCCAGAGATATTGTTCAGTAGAATGTACAAAATACTACTAATAGCCTACTACAGACCAATTTGGAGTAGATGTCACAGTTACGTCACTTGCAGCTGCGTGCGCATTGTGGTGGCATAAAAACACTGGGAACAAACAAATGGAGGGAGACGGGGAAAATCCATGGAATAAGAGAAACAATGTATTGTGCCTTTGAATGTCAGAATCGGAATGCAAATAATTTGTATATAATACTTTTGTCAAAGATGCCATTTGAAGCTAAACGCAGACATTTAAACAGACAGACAAACCTGCTATGATTACCCTACTTTTAAAGCATACATTTGATTTAAACAATAGGTAATTCTAAGGGAAAAAAAGCCAGAAGTGTGGGATTATAAACTAAAAAGAAAGAATGACGAGTTAATTTGTCTTACTGATTTTTCTTTGTACCGTGAGATATAATCTCGGAATTGCAAGAAAAAGTCAGAATTTTAAAATATTAACTCAAAATTATTATTATTTTTTCTTTTATTCCATGGCTTGAATAGACTGCTACGTTAAAACTGTCATTTTCTGCCACCAGATAGGCTCCGCCCACAAAAAACGTCATCACTGTTTGCAAACACTGTAATTGGTCTATTAGTACTACTACTAAAATTATTAAAACTTAAATTAAGGAATAATCACACAACATTTCTTCCATGTTTTAATGTTAATAGTAAATCCCCTTTGTTTGCCAAAAATAAATTTTAATTTTCAATAATTAAAATATTAATTATTGAATTATGACAAATTAATGTATTATGCCTTCATCTGATAACCAGAACATTTTAAATACACAACAGAATTTCTGAGGGAAAAAAACAAAAACATTTCATAAAGCTATTTTAAGAATACATTTGAATGAATTAAGTTGTTTTTATGCATTCAAATGATTAGACATGCTAAAACAGAATTTGGTAACAATAAAACATATGGTGAGAAAAAATAAAATGGTTCATAATGCCCTAAGCATGTAGTTTTTTATTTATTTATTTATTTTACTTTTAATAAATTGATGTGAAATTGTATAAGTTTCATGATTTTAATTAATTAGACATGCTTTTTGATTAATACAATTTAATTTAACCGTTAAAATGGAGTCCAGAAAAATGAAAACAGAAAAAAGCGGAATCCTGACAAATTAAAACGGATTATACCGTTATACAGTGCTGTTGTGCAGCATCTAATTTGACGAAATAAAAATGCAATGTTTTGTTGTAAATTAATTGTTTTTAAAACAAATTGATTAAATTATTAAAGTTGTATTAATTCATTTAATTGCACACCATTGTTTTATGGTAAATTTGTATTGACTTATAAACACAGAATCCAGGAAAAAAATTTATTGAAAATAGAGCACATGGGAAAATAAAACAGATTCCATTCGGCTCTAAATTAAAAGATAGCTCTGTGGAGTTTAATTGCGAACAAACAAAATATCTTTATATTCATTCTCAAGGTCTAACAAACATGTGGAAAGCATTTCTTTCAATTTTGCAATTTTGGTAAATTAATATTGTGATAAATATAGATATTGTATGATATGTAAAAA